CGTAACTGCTTGTGATATATGTTACTAACCTTTAGCCACACCTAGTAACAGGTGTTTCCTTAACAGTCACTAACCAAGGAACTTAGTGAAGGCAAATAGTCTCATCCGTAAGACCAAGTAGAAACCACTACATTGGTTTAGAATCAATATGGAACTCCTGAAAAATATATAGCTGCCACTTAGCTCAAGAGTCTAGGTGGTGCAAGGTATAACCCAATTTAAAGGACACAAATATATTTGCATGGCTCACGCAGTTAGCTCCATATCTCCTTCAGTTTATACTGCACAAATATTACAGAGATCATCAATCGGCTGGACGTATCACGGGCATGCAGACTTGTACACGCCACTAAAAAAATATCTGCAATGACATATACATTTACCCAAAGCAAAATTGTAACTAATTGCTCTTATAATTACTCTTACATAGAAGTAAGTGTTCGTTGCTTCAAGGAGTAATCTTTTAGTCTCACAGAGTTACTTTTACTTTATGTCGTAGGGTGAACCCAAATAGAATATCAGTACGAAGTCCAAAACGAGTGTAGCACGGGTCGGCCGTCCCACAGCGCAGGGTTCTTCAGCTTGATGTCTGGTGAGGAAACGGCAGCGCAGCGTCGCTCCATTGCGTGAACCAACGACTGCCAAGTCGTGATTCTACTCTTTAACATTCTTACCAAAGGATTAAGACTGACGGCAGCTATTGTTTTTTTTTTATCAGTTGGATTGAGGAGACTAAGAATAACGCGAAAGATTCCTGTAAAAATACGCATTCTACCGACGATGTGCCCAAAAATGGAAAGAAAGCAGCAACAAAAAAGAGATTGCCATTTTATTTAGGACACAAACAGCGGACGCACCGCAAGAGTGACAGGAATGTGGGTAGCTTGAAGCTTCAAGAAGAATAGATAAAGAAATAGAACAAAATGAAATAAACAATTGCATTTCCAAAATAACGAAAGCTGCTCGTTCATCATTTTGAGCAACCTGCCAGTTACGCCGTTTTCAGTCAATTTCGGTGGTGAACTGTGTTTCAGCGAAATACGGCACTTCCACTCTTGTTGTGACATTATACTAGCTCTCGTAGTTACTATACCCGAAGAGGTCATTGCTAACTGTCTCGAGCTTTTGGATGGCGCGCAATCGTTAGATATCCTCCTCTCTGTGTGTTCGAAAGCAAAGAAAGAGTGAAATGGCTAATATAACAGACAGGCAGAGACCTTCTATACAAACTCGCCTAAACTTAGACAGTTTTTTTTTTGTTTTTTTGTTTTTTTTTTTAGAAGGGAATTTTTCGATATTGGGAGATTTGGGAGTATACTTGAGACCGAGACCCAAGGTTTCATATAACTGCGCTTTCCTCTTTTCTTGTAGGCGAGCAAGCTGCAGTTGCAAACAAAATGGTAAAACAAAAAATGAATCTAGGTGTTAGGCGACCTGAAAAGGCTTTGAGCCTCTGGAGACTGCCAGGCCCTGCGCTTCATAAGTGCAAGTGATAATGTGATTTAGGTAATGCTCATCTTAGAAAATAAAATGAACAAATTTGTTTGGTGTTGATATTCCCACTTTTTTTTACGTGAATAAAAACGAAAATATGACGGATTAAACCATTCGCTTACCTAAATATCTAATGCAATTACTTTACAATTGTTCTGTAAAATATGTAAATATTGCCTTACACAATTACTTATAATTATAATGAAATAGTTGTAAGTTCGTTACTTGTAACGGGTTACGTAAACGTCCACATACAGGGATCACATGCACAAACCGAGCTCACAAAAACAAGTACATCACTGCCCGCTAAACAAATCACTGGCTCTCTCGGCAGTTTTTTTTTTTTTTACTTTCATACCCTCCTTTCTGAAAGCAGATTTACCTCAGTGATAATCGCAGCAATCAATAATTTTACAAAAAACATATTTTTTAAACTAAGGTTTACTTTTCACGACATTGATTTTAAATGGCACAAGGGATACATATTTTAGTAAATATAACATTCCCGCTGCAATAATTCGCGATGGCCAATGTAACTACCTGATGCTCTGAACTTCAGAGCCCTGTTGTCGCCTTTCTTTATAACAACTTAATGTACCAATGAATCAACAGCTACAGAGCGGCAACACGTCGTTGCACTACACGACCAAATATAGTTATAAGTAAATAATTTGTTGGGCGTAACATAACAAAATAAAAATGTACATATCATTACCATTTGTGGACTAATTCGAAAATGCAATAACATTATTCAAGATGAGCCAAACGTATAGAATTTATTTTTTTAGATCTTTCGGGTTTTCTTAATTTAAATTCACCGGAGGTCTTCCAGTTCCACGCAAAACAAACACGGTGTCGTTTTCGTGTTCGTCGTTAGGTGCCATCGGTATTGTGTATTGTCGGTGCCTTCTGTGAGCTCGCCCGCTGTTCGCCCGTAGGATTTTCGCAATGCTTGTCCACCAAAAGTCGTCACAGCAAACCAAGAAATTGGTGGGCAACGTGTACGCATAAGTGAGTCACAGGGAACTTTGACCCTTTATTCTTCAAGGATACCGGCAGCGAGGCCACCGGCCTAAATGAGAAGGAATGGGCTTTGCGCCCGCCGATCCCTGGGTTCTGCTAATAGAGCTTTCGCTATGCGTATTCTGAGCTGAGGTGCGCTAACACCCCCCCCCCCCCCCCCCCCGTCCCCTCGTGCGCTTAGCGGAAACTCAACGCTATCCAAATAGAGTTTGACTTCGCGCCGCAGACTGCGCGTGCTCCTATTTTTGTATTTCGCCCCGCGCTGTGATTTTTCAGCAACAGAAGTGTTTCCCCATTTATGACCTCAAACCAGCGCAGCGGTGATGAAATGCAAGGCATTACTTAAATTGTTGTCTTATATCTGTGTCGGTCGCAAGAAAAACAAAATTCGACGTGATCTAACACGGTCTAAATTACCTTGTCATACTGTCCGAGCACCTCAGTGAAACCGTTGACTTCAGTTTAAAAACGAATGAAACATTGGGAAACAGGCGCCACTATGCTTGCATACTCGATCGGCGATCGAAACTCAGCGACCTCAACTGCCATTCTAATACGAAATGAGTAGCAGTAGCAGATGCGTGTCAGTCACGCCAAAACCAAAACTGAAACCAAAACCAAGGAAGTCTGGTCCTAATTGGCCCGGTTAGACAGACGTCAGTTCTGGCACCGCCCCCTGATAGCTTTCTCTCAATGCCACAGAGAGACGTCCCCGAGTATAGTCCATCATTTTCGTGGCGTTTTAGAAGTCAAGAGTTCTCGTGTGCGGCTTCGATCGGCGCTCAAGTAGCTCGCGGAACTACGCACTTCAAAAGAGCTCTACGTCCTCCTCAATTTGCGACCCGGACGACCACTGTCAGCCACAAAGTTCTGTGAACCTTCTAAGCTGTTGAAACCCGGTCAGCGCGACTCCCCACCTGTATTGTTCTTTAGGAGTTTGCCGGACGCTTTTGAAAGTTTTGATTTATTTTTCTGTTCAGGATGCTTGCCCTTTTTGGTATTATCTTCCTCTGTGAGAACCAGAGAATACCAGGTCTCGTCGACGGCTTGGCGTTCGCAGCATGCCGACGAAGAAAGCGAGCATCAAACAGTTCGCGACGCAGGCCATTCGATGTTTTTCGATGATTGATTCAGTGGAGATAATCTTCGAAATGTTTTCCCACCTATGTTTGCTTTCGTCGCAAAACATAGCTGTTGGGTCCAGGGTAAATTGCGGAACAAATAAATCCCTTTTTTTTAATGTAAAAAAAAAAAACTTTTCATAAAATTCCCTAAAATAAACCGCATTCCGTCCCAATGCCGTGAATGGACTGTTCGTCACACTATATATTGGATCTGCCGTGTTTCCTGAGATATTTCTTAAATAAACCTTTTTTCGGGTCACGCGGCACCGTACGGTACGTGCAACTTATTGTTCGATTGATGAGACTTGTTGGATGTCATGTTGTGACCGAGAAATACCAATGACTCTCGGTTTTCTTGAGTGGAAAAATATTTTCGGCAGTTGAAATCTTTGTAGGTCGACACGGCTGAGTGTAGGGCATCTTAAAAATCTGCATAAAATACAACAAATATTCCACCTGTCTTTGATTTTGTTCTCTCGCGTACAGGGCGACCAAAAATAGCTTTCATTTGTTTTGTTTTTCAAGGACTTATACATTGCTTTTTTTTAAACATGGAGAAATTGTATTCGCCACAAGACACAAACGATGAAATAAAACGGATCAATTTAGCCACAACCAGTGTCCGGAATTTCGCTTACGCAGGCTGCTACTTCTTTTTGAAGAACTCACAGCCCAGCGCAGTCGGCCAACACAGACGTACTCTCTCAAACCTGGAACACGCGGTGTAAGCCACTGTATTCGAAAATGTCGCTGGAAGGGCCAAAAAAATGAGTGCGTAGGCACATAAAGTCATAATAGAGAGCTTTCGATGATTGATCCCATACCTAGAATACCTTTGATAACGATAAGATGCTTGGGAAAAAACAGCAACGGTGTATAGGGCATTGCTGTCGGAGTCATCGGAACGATCTACTAAAACTCTCTAATGATCACTTTCCCGATTTGCTTAACTTGTATGGCAACCGAATTTAATGTCCGTGGAATATTTGAGGTGAAAGAGCTAGTGAAAAAGCCGTAATGGCCATAGATGCAGCTACAACTAGCTTTTTGTTAGACTGTAGAATTATAATTCTTTCGGTACGCAAAGAACTGTCCCTGTTTCGCGATGAGTTTTAATGCATTACAGAAAACGACTCCCTCCTTCTTTATCATGGCACTTTACGACCTTAAACCCAAAACTATCCCTGCCATATCTCAGGTAGGATACACTCTGCAACGATGTTGCCTATTTGTAGAAAACAAAATTGTGCATTCCAAAATCGAATATTAAAGGAGTGCATACATTCACTTTTTTTGCAATCACGCTTTTCACCGCAAATTGTGTGTTTGAATGTGCACTCGGTAACTGAATGGTTACAGAGTCTGCAAGTCTAGCACGCACAGACGAAAATGATACGCAGTATAAGTGCGGAAAGCGCCAAAAAGTACAACATATTTCTGCAAGAATCATCAATGGTACCGAGGCTCTCCCGGAACACTGGCCCTGGATGGTCGCAATCTATAATTCAAACGACACCTTTGTATGCGGAGGGGTCTTAATTGGCGAGGAACATATAGTAACGGCAGCACATTGTTTTCGGTAAGTGATTTTTCTTTTCAAATTTAATGCAAATATGTATTTTTATTTGTTTTCATATAATGCTTAATTGCTGTCTCGCACATTCCTAGTCCGTTCTTCGTTAGTTTCAAGGGTTATTTAGCCACTCCCTGTGCAGTGCGGTTTGAGGCATGAAGCGACACACGCGTTTCTGCTTTTTGCAGCGTGAAATTCGCATTTGATGGCGGCACATAATTAGACAAGACACCCGATAATCAAATTTTATTTAAAGTTTAAACAATTATCGTGTGTCAGGCACTCCGTTTACACGTGGTGAGAAAATTGGCGTTTGAACTTCAATATGAATTTCTAACTTGAGGCCAATAAACGATATTGTACCTGTCAAAGGGGTAGAACGCAGGTTCTCTCTCAAATCTATTAATTAAATTTGTATATTATTTGTAAATGTAAAATTAAAAAGTGGTTGTGTGCAACCATTATTTTCTGTAGCGGTATTTATGTTTACCGCCCACCCTACTTGGACCTCGAAAGGTCCCCAGTATGTACAAAATCAATAAATAAATAGATAAATAAAACTTACTGAATTCGGTAACAGTAACTCTCTCTGCTTTTTCTTTATGATTAAAGAAACCAAGAGGCTCATGAGTTTTCAGTTCGTCTTGGAACCACACTCAGAACCAATGTTTCTCAATGTAACACTGCACAAGATTCTAATATACAAGAAAAGAAAACCAGAAATGCGGAAGTATCTCCAAAATTAGATGAAGAATACAATGAGGATTCTGAAATCCAGGTGATCTGTATTGAAGTTGAAAGCTTCTGCACCCCTATTCAAGACAACTGTCACCTCTTCATGGTACGTAAAAAGCAACGGTCCTAACACCTTTAAATGTTGTGCATCATGCTTTTTTATATTACTTTCGCAGAAAGACATTGCTGTTGTAAAATTAAAAACGAAGGTCAACTATACTGACTATATTCAGCCAATCTGCCTTCCGGAAAACTGTGTCGATCCCCCTGCAAGCAGTGCATCCTATGTTGCAGGCTGGGGACAAATATATGGTAAATTTCCTGATCTTAATATTTACTACAGACGCGATTCATTATAAAATACAACTCCGCAACTTCGAATGATTTCATAATTTATTTTTTGAGCTGGTAATTAAAAAGGTATTCTTGTGTGTTTTGTGACATATAGCTTATACTTTGATCAGACTGTGGTTTTGGTGTTTCACACATGCTGGCATACCAATAAGCCCCGGGAATGTACAATCATTCATATGGCCTTTATTAATATTTTAAATAAATATTTGTTTTACTCCCAGAGTATCACAGTCTAGATGAATATGAAGATTATTTTGAAGTCGAAGACGAAATAGGCGACCCTGAGATTCAGAAACCCGTAAACAAAACATCAAGTGAAGTAACTAGCGTGGAATCGCAAACGGAACCAGGAGGAATCATATCATTTCGAATCCCAAACACACTGATGGAACGGAAACATGATTTGATTGATAAGGATCAATGCACTTCCGAAATGAAAAGCGAAGTTCCTGACTACATCATTTGCACAAATGGAGGATCATGTCGTGTGAGTAAAGAAAATCCTTGAATTGTGCTTCCTACAACACTCAAATATCATATAATAAATCTTATTTCTTCTTGCATCTAAGTTCATAAAGCATGCAGTTCATTTTAGTGTAACCCTTTAATCCTAAATGTTTGTCCAGCCGATCTTCCCTCCGTCCGTGTCATCATTTCTCCGCTGTTTAGCGAGGAAATTGACGTTGCCTGTCCTCTCACGTTAAGAAATTGTTTCCTGCGCTAAATTGAGCAGGAAAATCTTAATCACGTTACCTGAGCACCAATTTAGTTTTTTAGTCAAATATGGAAACAAAATTGATGTCCCGTGATTTTAAAATCCGATTTAAAGACATTGCAATTGTTAAAGAAGAAATTTACATCACGTGACTTGTCACGTGGTTTTTAACAGGAAAATATTTGTTTGCCCCGCTAAATTTAGCAAGGAAATATCTGTCACGAGACCTTTACACCAATTAATTTTTTCTCTAACTTTACGGAGGAAATGATTCAGCATTGATTTTCCTTCTCTCCCGAAAGGCTTTGACGTTTTCTCATCAAACTGAGACGAGTATATCTCAAATAGTGTATCCCATGCATTGCAGGACTTTGGAAGTAAATGCCGCTCCGTTCATCTGGTGAAAAAACTAAGTTTGCCTCAAGCATCTTGATTTGTCTAGAAGTTTTGAATGATATTTATATTTATCTGAGGCATCTTCAATTTGCTTGTGTGACTAAACTACGTTCTCCGCATGATGTGGCAACTTGATTGCACATCAATACTTTTTACCCAAAGAAAGGACACGTTCTGGGTCATAATCGGCGTTTCCTTTCTTAACGAGATCTGGAGATCGAAAAGACATATCTCCTCCATATGCACGTGAAACCCACCACGATCACCAATATTCCTGTACGTATATTCAATCCGCCGGCGAGGGAGAGCAATCAGACTATTAGTGAAGGAATACATACTTTTTACTATAGACATCATTAATTACCGGCGGTGAGGAATATCGTCCAGTCGTGATATTCGGCCCGGTGAACAAATAAACGCTCTGTAGATGGACATTCCGCCGCAGATAAACGAAAACATGGCGGAGTATTGTTCGAGACACACGATTAAGCATGAGCTTTGAGAACTGCTGCGGGTCGAATAACATGAAAATACATGCAGAGCAACACTGGACGCGGATGCGCCAGAGCAAAATCGAAAAAGATGACCGCGGGAGGGTGCAGATTTGGCCTAGACGCCGCGGGAGCATTAGATGAGGCCTGGATGGGTAGCGGTTCACTGTACGTTGCAAGGCGGACGCTGCCGTTAGTGGCGCTGTCAATCAGCTTCGAAATTAGAGCTGCGCGCCGCATTTAGGTAATAATAATAATAATAGCTTCTTCGCAGATCCGAATCAAGGTACAAAAAAAACCGTCGCACCAAAGCACTTTTGTGCTTGTGCGTGAGAACGGGCAGTCCATTCAAATTATCTTTCTACGGGGGTACTCGGTTTTCAAAATCCTACAAACATTTTCTTCAAAAACTATTCAGTGTTGAGGCACAAGAGAAACAAAACGAAGACAAAATGTGTTCGTTACATTTTAGATGTCACGTACAATTACTAGGGAAATTGCAGTGTGACCAATTTGCCAAATACTCACAAACAACAAAAAAACAGTCATGATTCCAACAAACGACAAAACGAGGATCAGGTATCCCAAGGGGAAATACACGATGGCAACTAATAAACCAACGCGCTTTGTCAAGGTATCTGGTGGAAATCTACAAGTAATTTTAAGTAATTTTAATGCTGTACTCAGGGAATTGGAGAACGCATGAAGATTTCGCTTCATTGTTAATCTTGTACTCGGCCAAGGTACGCAGAAGAAAATAAAAAAGAGCTCGGGAGAACGACTAGTTAAGCTTCAGTTTTCTTTATACACGATTTCCTCCTTTCCTTTTTTACAGGTATTAAGGAGTGGAGGGTGTGAAATATTTAAGGAAGTTGGTTGACATATGCATGCACATAAAATATGCGGAGCCTAGTTCGTTAGTTAGTCTATATTTTTGGTATCTGAAGCGTTTCCGTGTTATCAGTTGACTTTCTTTGATGGTGTTCATTTTGAACTCGGATATGAAGTAATGATTCGATAGATTGACAAATTTGCGCAGTTTATTCACTTTCAATAGGTCAGGTTCTGACAGGTGATCGTCAAGCACTATATTTTCAAGTTTGGCTTCATAGGCGATGTTCCGCACCATCACTTTTATTAACTTAGTTATTCTTTGTGTTCCGAAGTCAGGATCCATAAATAATATTTCCAAAACTTAGTTTTGGCTCTGCCAACATTTGATAAATTAATCGTCTTAGCCAAATGTCCCCGGGCTTCCGCAAACTGTATAAGATGATATTGTCCGTAGGTGATTTATTAGATGATCTTCATGGGAATTTAACAATAGATGCTCGTCAAATTACGTGCCTAGATATTTTGTGTTTTGGTAAATGAAAGTGGCGTACAGTTGCGCTGATCATTGAGTCATATGTAAAAAGGGGAGTTTTGTAAGGTTAATACCATTTTGATGCGTTCGAAGGCACATAAGGTGTGTTTTTTTCATTGTTGTCAAATATAGAGTTTTCAGAAAGCTAGTTCATTATATTATTGAATTCAGTTTGCATGCTTTTGACTGCATTATATTAATTTTTATTTCCCAGGACTAATGCTGTATCGCCGGCGTACTGATAGAGGTTAGATTTTAGAGGGAGTTGGGCAAGACCGTTCACGTAGATGTTAAAAAAAGCATAGGGTCTAAAACAGATCCCTGAGCCACGCCGCAAGTTTTGTGCAGAGAGTCACTGAAGCATTTTTCTTTCCTAACTCGTTGAGTCCGGTTGGAAAAGTGAGTTTTAAACAAATATAGGAAGTTCCCCTGAAAGCCAAGGTTTTCTTTGTTATGTCGTAATATGGAATAGTCAATTGTGTCAAATGCCTTTGTCAGGTCAAGAAGTATTGGAAGTACTACATTATTAGAACCTATTTTTAGTTCATGCTATACGTCATGGCTTCACTTAAAAACGTAGTACAAAATTGTTGCCGAAAGCCTTACGGCGTGGGGTGTTGGTAATTTGTGAATATTGCTCACAAAAGAAGGTCATAATTTTTAAAACAGCTCGTTCCTTTATCTGCGAGATGAGGGACATTAGTGCGGCGGGCCTGCAGTTGCCTAATTCATTTTTCCAAGATTTTCTATCAACAGGTCGGACTATCGCAACCTTAAGTTTATCTGGTATAATACCGCCAGCAAAACATGATTTAAGTTGTTACAGTTCACTTTTATGTCTCGCGGTCTTAGTTGATCATATCCCGCAGGTTTTATGATTGGCATACTGTTAATTATATATTCTAGATCTGTACTTGTCATTTGTGGTATCGGTATGCCGAGTAATGTACATTCGACAGTGGCATTCCAGTGTCTGTGTATTGTTTACTGGCTGGTGCAAATTTTGTACAACTTTAGCGAAGTTGTTATTGAAGTTGTTACTGATAATATAGTAATCGGTTACTCCAACGTTTTGCTTTATACATTCCTCAATCCTGCCTTCAGGTGGTCTTTTCATCATTTGATTCACAATAGTTCGCGTTTTCCTGCACAGACTACAGATTCAGCTTCTTTTCGATGTTTTCAATCGTAGTCAAAACCGCGGTCATATGTTTGTTTTTCTGCACTTTTTGCGCCAATATAGCCGCTTGTCCGTGATCTGAACTTTCGGCAGTGTCCTGAACAATCTGGTCATCTCCGTGCTGTTCTTGACGTTGGGTGTTTAGTTTACAGGTTGCACAGAGCCAAGTCAGCGGATTTACCGCTTTTTCGGCTTTTTATGCGGCTTTCGAGCACTTCCCATTTTGATACAGGCTGTTGCATTTTGTGCATTTTAACAGTTGACTATCATCCATCACCTCTTTCATACATGCTAAACAAACATTTTCTTCGATGTGAAAAGTGACTCAGTACGGGAGAGCGCAGTCCAGCGAAGTGTGCGGTGCGAAAAGAAAGAAGAAAAAAAGAAGCACCCACCTGAGGAGCAGAAAGAAAATGTTACGTTCCGCTCAGTCACTCCGCCGGACTGCGCAGGTTCCCAATCCGCTGTTTGCTCATCTGGGCTATATCCCGCTTTGTCTGATAGGAGTTCCGGGTTACCTGCTTCGTGTCTACCTGGTCGGGCGGTGAGTCGAAGGCTGTGATGTTGCAGCCACAGTGAATCGCCTGGCCCGCTTTCTTTGTTTTCCTGGGCAGCAGAAAGGGAAACACGGCTCCTATACTTATCATACACCCTCCCCGATGCTGCTGTGAGATTACAGATCCACAAGGCATATGCTCCCGATAATTAAATTCTTTATCTAGTCGTTTCACAGCAGCGATTCGACAGAAACCACAACCCAAATGTCTGCTAAGGTTTCGATGGCAACCGGTCCCATGTTCAAGTGATCATGGTGTGCTCCTTTCTATTCGATGAACTCTATTCAACAAACGTCGCCCATGGGTGGTCTTCGCGCGGTCCTTTTGGCAACGTCAACCAGCTCTGAGAAGGAAAGTTTCAAAGAAATAGTTCCTAAGATTACAGCGCGATACACATACTTTTGCCTCTGTAGAAGTATTTGTGAGTTCGGCTGCGCTTAATTTGTGAAACATGTTTGTGTGAAATGCTCGACACTTTAACTCAATATTTTTTGTGACCACAATAATCAGACCGCACTCTCAATGTGTTACTAAGAGAAACCTGTGGTTATTCACTGAAAGCACGCGCCAATGAAAGAGTTAGCATCATGGATGAGTTGTATCTTTTTTTGGCTTGCATGTGTCATAAAACGAAGTATCATGACGTCTTGTTATGTCCAGATGTGCGCCTTGCTTGCGATCTAGATGGTAACGTTCTTGTACGCTCAGTTAGATTCTACACTGTTCTGCACGACTAAAATTACGAGCTTATTCTTTTCAAAAACTTTGTAGAACAGCTCCCCATTAGAAATACTAGAAACGTACTTATCTGAAAAAATGTTTAAATCCTCTTGTTTATGTTTTATTGCTATCAAGGGAAATATTTGGAGAGCCAACATTTGTGCAGCTTAGTATGAATCAATGTCGTAAAGGTTGAGTTGCAGTGCTGTGTCCACGAATATCAACACTGGTCAATATGTTGAAAGTTTACGTGAATAACGGCGGATGTGTATTGCTCTTACAATAGAAGCATAGAGAAATAACCTTGTCCGCCCTTTGTGGTCAACAAGAGCATTTCTCAAATAGATGCTTTCAATTTACAAGCAACACCTTGATGTCTGTTATTTTGTTCGTTCTGGGTATTTGTGTCTCTTACAGTAGAACGTTGGAAACATTAACGCTTATGCGGTACAACATGAAAACCTGCAAAACGCTGTAACATTAGCAGTAGTACTGCTAGTAAATCACGCGGAGAAACGTGTTAGGTTTCATAAAAACATATTTCGAATCTTTCTGTGTAGTATAAAACATCAAATTCAGTCTAATAATTTCTTACGCTTTATTTTCAGGGAGACAGCGGAGGACCCTTGATGTACGAAGATAACGGTCGGTGGACTCTTATTGGTGTGGTTTCTGACGGGCCAGATGACTGCTTTCACCCAGAGAGACCTACACTCTTTGTGAAGGTCTCGCACTTTGTGGACTCGCTTATTTCGAAATTTATAGAACATGGAAGTCACAGTGACAAAAATTCCACGTGTGCTACGGAGGATGCCCGTAAAGAGTGTGTAACGAGGTTCTTACAGTTTTACAACACGTCTGTAGAACCACAATACATCCCGAAGGGATCTACCTTCTATCAGCTCTACAACATGTCTGTAAAACCATGAGACATCCTGAAGGCACCTACTTTCGAGTTAATAAAAAAATATAAGAAAAAATGTTTACGCCTTTGTACACTTTTATTTGCCTGCATTTATGATCTTACTTGCTTCGTGCAAATGTGCGGGATTGCTCTCGATGCAAACTGGTAATGAAAATACGGTGAGTGAGCAGGGGAGCTGGTGGAAGTGACCTCTACTGTTACTTTTTCTACCACTGTCAACTGAATTTTCTTCGTCTGGCGCAGTCACCGGTTAAATTCATAATGAAAACTATCTTTGCTTCGGCTATACTCGTGCTCAAAATGCAATGAAATAACCTTTTTCTTTTGTTTTTAGCAAGAATGTTTGTTTCGTAGTGTCGAGATGACATCTCTGGTCACTGAAGTGATATTTCCTTTCCCTGCAGGGTTATTCCGAACGCTCCTTGGAAATGCCATTCGCAAGTTGATTAAAAAAATGTTCAGAAACGCTTATCTTAAAAATCATAATACGCGGGATGCAGCACTTATCGGAGCGATCGATTAAATTTGTTTAGAAGGCAGTAAACGTCACGTAACATTATGTTGTCAGGTCTGTCTGTCATGTGATACCATATAGTGAAATGTCTTCGCGTCACGTGACGTGGTCACGAGACGACTTTACGTCACGCGACCTTACGTCACGCGACATGGACATGTGATCTGACATCACTCAACGCCGTCACGTTTCGCGAACTTCGGACATCAATTCGTTGTCTTCGTAATATCGTAGCATCACGTGACCTGGTAGAAGTAACAAAGATGTGCAGGCCAGCTAGTGAACTTTTAAGGGCGATAGGAGGACTTCACAGCGGCGAAGCGCGGACGTGACCAGTTGGGCTACCCATGTAAAACCGCAGTGGGTCACACCTCGGCTCTGCAGGGTCCAAATTTACGAAGATGGGAGCTCCATTGCAGCAAAACGAGGGACATGCACTAGACTATCCATTTAAAACCCCCGTAGGCCCTACTTCGCCCCCGTGGGGGCGAAGTTGCGACAATGCTGGATCAACGGCGGGAAAACGTGGGCGTTCCCGATTTGGGCTATCATGTAAAATCCTTGTGGGTCCCACCTCGGCATTGCGGCAGCCAAATTAGCGACAGTGTGGGCTTCAGGGTGGCAAAGCGTTGGCGTGCCCCCGACTAGGGCTCCTTATGTAAAGCCGCCGTGGGTCCTACCTAGCCTGTGCATGGATCATGTTAGAAATGGTGCGGGCTCCACATGGCAAAGTATATAGGTATTATCGACTTGAGCTGCATAACTAAAAGCCCCGTGTGTCCCAACTAGTCTCTGCGCGGTCCATGTTAGCAATTTGGGGGGGGGGGGGGGGCTCCATAGTGGCAAAGCTTGGGCATATCCGACTTGCTTGGGCTACCAATGCAAAAACACCGTGGGTCTCACGTGCACCGTGCATAACCCACGTTAGCAATGGTGCGGGCTCTATGGGGCAAAGTGTAGCATACCCAACTTGGACGGCCTAAGCAAAACCCCGTCGGTCCCACCACGGCTGTTCAGGGGCCACGTTAGCAATGATGTGGGCGCCACTGTGGCAAAGCGTGGGCATATGCCCAACTTGAACCGCCCGTGCAATACCACCGTGGGTCCCACCTCTGTTATGCGGAGGCAGAGTTAGCAGAAACGTGGGCTTCTAAAGGAATACCATGGACATACTCAACTTGGGCTGCCCATAAAATGCCCACATGGGTCCCACATCAAAAATGCAGGGGCAGATTTAGCTCACAAGCGGGCTTCAGGGGGGCACCGCTTGGGCATGCCCATTGGCAGTGCAGATTGGGCATGTCCTATCTGCACTGCCAATGCAATGCACCCGTAAGTTCCACTTCGGCTATGAAAGGGGCGGGGGGTGGAGGGCAGAGATATTTCAAAAGTGGGCTCTACGGGAGCATGCGCAACTTCGGGTGCCCATGAAATTCCCCCGGCGTATTACCTCGATTATAAGGGGGCACGGTTAGCAGAGATGTGAGCTTCAAGGGGGCAAAGCGTGGGCATGCCCAACTTGGGCTACTTGTGCAACTCCGAATTGCTAATATTCAAAATATTTGCTGAAGTTTGTATTTATTTATCATAGCAGATCGGCTTACTATTTTACCAAATCACTTAGTGTTGTAATTTCAAGCCTGAGTGAGTAATTTTATGCTTGCTAAACGTTAGTACTAACTTACTACTCGGCCTGTACAGACCAGTGTCCGAAATCCTTGCCCCCAACTACAAATATGTGGATATAATAATCTTAAACGCAGGCTCTTGTAAAAAAAAGGGCCACGCATTCAACAACATTTCTGATTGTTACAGCACTATGTGCATCGATGTTTTTCTTGGAGCTTCGTGAATCTGCTTGTTCTGACGTTCTTGAACTACGATATATGTGAAGGTTTCTAATGAAACGAAGTCTTCCAAAACCGCAGCCCCCTGCTTTGTCATTGCACGGGCAAAAACAAACGTGCCGGCGCCCACGAAACAGAGCGGACACTGGTCTGTGTTGAGAAGGCCATTTTACGTGGGGTGGATTTTTTTTACGCAGAGTATTCTATTTGAGGGTGAATTCTAAAACACGCTCGTCAGGATGTCGTATCTGTTCTCAATTTCGGTGCCTGTAGATAGATCAAGCTGACTATCTATCTGGAGTGCCTTTCTGACAGTATTTTATATGAAAATGTACACAGGATGTTTTTTTTTCTATTTTGTGCACTTGAATTGCCCAATTTTGATAGGCTTGCTTCAAGACGTTCATTAATCTACAAAAAAATTTATTATTTTGGTCAGCAATCGTACCCGCAGAGGGCATATGTAAAAGCACGTGCTTGGGGACTAGCCTCATCGCGTACCCCAGCCACGTGGGCTATACCCGCACGTAGGGAGCACCTGCTTTAGTAGGTGCTTGGTCAGTGGCGTCACTACGAACCCCGAGCCATGCTGGTTTCGCCCACCCACGCCTGGCTGAGCGTGACTTAACCCCTGTCCGGGAAAAAAGGGGAGACTGGTGGTTGAGCTGAGCTCGGGGTACCTTTGGACCCTTTGAGGATCACCGGGCACGGTTTAAGTCACACCCAGCCAGGCGTGGGTGGACGAAACCACCATGACTCGGGGTTCGTAGTGACGCCGCTTCTCGTATACGAGTTTCCTGGCTTGGCCCAACAAGAATGATTCAGTCAGTCGCCTCTTCTACTCTCTTCTTCCTTCTTTCATTTTTTATTCAACATCTTTCTTATATGTTCTATACTCTTTTCCTTCCTTTTGCATCTTCCTATTCGGCAAGGATCAACCTTGGGTGGAAACAGGTCCTGTCCCTGCAACCACACTTGGGCATAGCGAACGAGTAGCACTGGTATATTTATTGTGCCAGCCAAGCCTTTCTTGCTAAGAGTCATTTTCTACACCCTTGTTGGGCTCCGTGGTGGGCGGTGCACCCGGGCATTGACGTTTTTCTCATAGGTATGGGTTCCAAAACTAAAACACATGATCGGGCCCTTAAAAGCTCCCGTATCAAAGTGCTATCACATTTCTCTCCGCGAACAATGCAAACGAAAATTTTACAAGATTTTGTGTTCTCCACTCTTACGATGTATCAAAACTACTCTCGAAATGTTCTCCGTTTCTAGTCGCCAAAGTGCTTCAAGGCACGTTAGAAGCGAAGTACGAAACCAAAAATCTCTTCTCAGGCGGCCTTCTTGTGGAGCTTTTACGGGAAATACCAAGCTACGGCTTTGATGAATCTCCAAACGATCCATGACCTCAAGTTGGCAGTGTCTCCTCATCGAACACTGAACATCATCCGTGGCGAGATCTCGGGAGATCATTTAATAGGCAGTACCGAGAAAAAAATCCCAAGAAGTTGTAGCTGCAAATCGCAGCACCATCCCACGTGATGGTGAGGAACGAACCATCAAACAGGTTGCTTCGTCCTTCGAGAGGCACACTTGGCCTCCCTCTATTAACGAAGGCTACATAAAATGCAAGGAGCGACCTTGCGTCCCAAGTCCGCCTCGCTGCTTTCGGTGCCAGCAGTACGGTCAAGGGTCGCGCACTTGCCGAGGTCGTGAGACGTGGGCCAGGTGTGGGGTCAGAAACCATACCGCTGATAGCTTGAAAACAGATAAGAAATTTGTCAATTGCAGCGAAACCATCATGCATACTTTGGAGCTTGTGAACACTTCAAAAGGGAAAATAAATTCTTCCCTTCAAAATTGAAGAGAACATAACCTACCAAGATGCAAAGCGTCACCTTTCCACTTTCCGGCGGGGTTCTTTTGGCGAGGCGGTGTCCGGCACATGACCTGCACCGTCCAAAATATCAGTGGCAACCCAGCTGTCTCTTGGGAACCCTGGGAAATCACTCCAGTCCTCTATGCCCAACTTGATGATTTCTCTCCCTGGGCGTTCCGAACCTCTTTGGATGCAAGGCAGCCGAGGCACCCAGTCAAGCTGAAGACTTGGGTGCCAATGAGGCAACGGAGGTGGCTCTATTGCGCAAACCTCGCAGGTCGCCCTCTGGAGAGAGCGAGCGAGCCCCTCGCTCCTCTCACAATAAGACTGCTCACACATGTAACCTTCAGCTTCGAGGGGGGGGGGGGGGGGGAGCACACCAGCTGATTCCCAGTGTCAGAACAGGCAGGCAATGCCTGTGTGTACTTCAAGGACTTCCTCTGGTGAGGAGCGGCACTCTCGCCTACGGTCGCTGGAGGGGGCCTCCAGATCCAAAGGGCAGCATCGAGCTGCCCCTTCAGGATTTCGGGGGCAGGAACAGAGGGACTCGGGCAATATCACGGTGGGTTTCTTATAAGTTAAAAAAAATTCAGATTTCCGAGAATCGATAATCGAAAAAAAAGGTATCATCGACCGATGATCGTTCATAATCGACCTAGGGTCCACCCGTTGCTAGTCGCAATGTCTGTGACCTCTTGCCACGTGACATCTGCGAACTTTATTATTCCAAAGAATATACTTTTGGCTCTCGTCCATCGGCTGGC